GAAATATCTGCCGAATATTGAATATTTGTTCTTCTGGTTTTATTATACATATAATGAAATGCAATCAAATTCTATCTTTTGGGTGAGAATTAAACAATCTTTTTAGTGAGAAACTATTTTCGTGCCATTTAATGACAGAAAGAACATATATATGTGTGCGTGTTTGTGTGTGTCTTCGCGCTCGTGTGTGTAAATAAATGACGGGATGGACGAACAGTGTTTTCATGTGTATTAACCGGAAATGCCATCAGGCGAAACAGCAGTTTTATTGTTGGAACCAAAGCTGTATACAAAGAGAGAAAAAAATACATTAACCTTCGGTTACAGCTTAAATGAATTCTTTAACGATTCAGAGCATCTCATCATTTAAATTTAAATCGTTGCCATTTGATGTATACGATGATTAAACTTAAAATATTAAATATTTTTCTTTCATTTTAATAAGAACCACGTTTCAGTTGACATTACAAATTAGGTCTAATGACATTATGATCAAATCTCTTACAAAGAAGGCCTAATGACATTATGATCAAATCTCTTACAAAGAAAGCCTAATGACACTATGATCAAATCTCTTACAAGGGAGTCCTAATGACGTTATGATCAAATCTCTAATGACATTATGATCAAATCTCTTACGAAGAAAGCCTAATGACACTATGATCAAATCTCTTACAAAGAAGGCCTAATGACACTATGATCAAATCTCTTACAAAAAGAAAACCTAATGACACTATGATCAAATCTCTTCCTACGTTAAGAAAACCTAATGACACCAAATAAAAGAAAGCCCTAATGACACTATGATCAAATCTCTTACAAAGAAGGCCTAATGACACTATGATCAAATCTCTTACAAAGAAAACCTAATGACACTATGAAAATCCTAATGACCTAATGACGTTATGATCAAATCTCTTACAAAGAAAACCTAATGACACTATGATCAAATCTCTTACAAGGAGTCCTAATGACGTTATGATCAAATCTCTTACAAAGAAAAAAACCTAATGACATTATGATCAAATCTCTTACAAAGAAAAAGCTATGATCAAATCTCTTAAAAGTTCTAATGACGTTATGATCAAATCTCTTACAAAGAAGGCCTAATGACATTATGATCACTATGATTAAAAATCTCTTACAAAGAAACCTAATGACACAATGATCAAATCTCTTAACAGGGAGTCCTAATGACGTTATGATCAAATCTCTTACAAAAGAGGCCTCAAATCTCTCTTACAAAGAAAACCTAATGACAAATCAAATCTCTTACAAGGGAGTCCTAATGACGTTATGATCAAATCTCTTACAAAGAAGGCCTAATGACATTATGATCAAATCTCTTACAAAGAAAGCCTAATGACACTATGATCAAATCTCTTACAAAGAAGGCCTAATGACACTATGATCAAATCTCTTACAAAGAAAACCTAATGACACTATGATCAAATCCTAATGACGTTACAAATCTCTTGCAAAGAAAACCTAATGACACTATGATCTACAAGGAGTCCTAATGACGTTATGATCAAATCTCTCTTACAAAGAAGGCCTAATGACATTATGATCAAATCTCTTACAAAAAAAGACACTATGATCAATGACATTAATGACACTATGATCAAATCTCTTACAAAGAAAACCTAATGACACTATGATCAAATCTCTTACAAGGGAGTCCTAATGACGTTATGATCAAATCTCTTACAAAGAAAACCTAATGACACTATGATCAAATCTCTTACAAAGAAAGCCTAATGACACTATGATCAAATCTCTTACAAAGAAGGCCTAATGACACTATGATCAAATCTCTTACAAAGAAAACCTAATGACACTATGATCAAATCTCTTACAAGGGAGTCCTAATGACGTTATGATCAAATCTCTTACAAAGAAAACCTAATGACACTATGATCAAATCTCTTACAAAGGGAGTCCTAATGGTTAGTCCTAAAAGAAGGCCTGACATTATGATCAAATCTCTTACAAAGAAAGCCTAATGACACTATGATCAAATCTCTTACACGGGAAGTTCTAATGACGTTATGATCAAATCTCTTACAAAGAAGGCCTAATGACATTATGATCAAATCTCTTACAAAGAAGGCCTAATGACGTTATGATCAAATCTCTTACAAAGAAAGCCTAATGACACTATGATCAAATCTCTTACAAGGGAGTCCTAATGACGTTATGATCAAATCTCTTACAAAGAAGGCCTATCAAATCAAATCTCTTACAAAGAAAACCTAATGACACTATGATCAAATCTCTTACAAGGGAGTCCTAATGACGTTATGATCAAATCTCTTACAAAGAAGGCCTAATGACATTATGATCAAATCTCTTACAAAGAAAACCTAATGACACTATGATCAAATCTCTTACAAAGAAAAACCTAATGACACTATTATCAAACGTTATTATCTCTCTTGCAAAGAAAACCTAATGACACTATGATCAAATCTCTTACAAGGGAGTCCTAATGACGTTATGATCAAATCTCTTACAAAGAAAACCTAATGACACTATGATCAAATCTCTTACAAGGGAGTCCTAATGACGTTATGATCAAATCTCTTACAAAGAAGGCCTAATGACATTATGATCAAATCTCTTACAAGGAAAGCCTAATGACACTATGATCAAATCTCTTACACGGGAAGTTCCAATGACGTTATGATCAAATCTCTTACAAAGAAGGCCTAATGACATTATGATCAAATCTCTTACAAGGGATGCCTAATGACATTATGATCAAATCTTTTACAAAGAAAGCCTAATGACACTATGATCAAATCTCTTACAAAGAAGGCCTAATGACATTCTCATCAAATCTCTTACAAATAAGGCCTAATGAAATTATGATCAAAACTCTTACAAAAAATAATTCTACTTTTATTTCTTTTTCACTTTAATATTTTTCTTCATTTTAATAAGAACCACGTTGTTTCAGTTGACATTACAAATAAGGCCTAATGACACTATGATCAAATCTCTTACAAAGAAGGCCTAATGACACTATGATCAAATCTCTTACAAAGAAGGCCTAATGACATTATGATCAAATCTCTTACAAAGAAGGCCTAATGGATTGAGGTGATTCTTTAATAAAAATAACCACTCCTGTTTCAATTTTTTAAAAATTTCTCAAAACAAAAGTTGTAAAAGCCGAATGAAGGATGTTATGCTTAAAATCTCGGTACATCAGACATCACAATCTAGACCTTAAGCATTTTAACGATTAGAGGGAAACTTATACTAGTGTGGCATTTTCCTAAATTTATTTATTTTGTAAAAAACTACAAAAAACAATGATTTTTTTTAAGAAAAACTTATTTTCCATAAGATTACTAAAATATATCAATAAATTGTCAATAATAAACTATTATTCAAGATCCAATTAATGTCAAATTTTCCTATAGCAGTTTTCCTATTATCAGCATAATTAAAATTAAAAATTCTGTTTGTTGAATTATTTTTATTATTAATAAAAATTACTAAATTTAAATTTTCCAAAAATATTTATGTTTTCAAAAATATTTATATTTTCAAAAATATTTATGTTTTCAAAAATATTCATATTTTTATATTATATTATATATATTTTTTCTATTGCAGATAAAACATGGAAGACATTTTAGATAATATATATATATATATATATATATATATATATATATATATATATATATATATATATATATATATATATAATATATATATATATATAAAGTGGAATGCCCATCCTTTAATTATTTTACGTTTGAAAAAAAGATTTGTACATAATTCCCTCAAATCAATCTCATTCGGACAAAGGGAGACCTCCAGTAATATTCTTGTGAAATCTAAACCACTGAGTCTTTGCAATGGCATCAAAGTGATTATCAAGACAATGAATAAACAGGTTATTGAATTTCAACATAGCAATGAATGCAAAAATGAAGTTATTTCTTCCGAGCAACGCTGTGTATCCCCAATAGTATTTCTCTATAATCTTATTTTATTATCAATATAGTAAATTCCAGTCACGTTAACCATCTATGTACAACGATATGTGAGTGTTGAATACGGAAAGAAAGCAAAGGAAACTTTTAAAGTAAATTATGGAAATTTATTACTAATATTTACCATATTTATATGCGGAATATTTTCCTCATCTTTGTTGTTTTTATTACAAGGTTTCGGTCGAGCAGTTTCTTCTTGCACTCATTGAAAACGGGCGAGCAATAACAGAATAGTACCAGTTCAGAATTCCCTGTAGATTATCCAGATCGATATAGACCTGAGGACGGCCGGAGAGCACAACAACTGAAACGTTGTGATTAAAAAAACAAAGATGTAGAGAATAGTCTGAATATACATAGTGTAAATAAGGATAACTCTTCATCCCAGAAATTCAGATAAAATAATTAATAATAATTCAACATTATAAAGCGACATGGGTCTTCTCAACCGACATTCAACTCAGTCCATCGAGTCTTTATCAGAATTCATAGCTGGTATGACTCTTCAGACATATATACCGACATTATGATATTCATATTTTATTTTTATTACGCGTATATATGAACAGTTTGACGTTTAGGCTAGTAGTTTTTCTTCAGCTTAATGAGAAAAAAGTTTTAATCGTAAAATATTTTATAAAGAATTTCTAGACTTTCTTGTATAAGTTACAGTTTTATTTCTTTTCGACAAAGAATGGAATTTTGTCTTTTCGAAAAATATTCTTCGCTTTCTTTCTTTCACTCTCCGTTTATATCTCTGGGTCGGGTACTTATAGCATTTCGACAATGCCAGATATTGTAACTCTGCCTGCAGGCGCAACTGTCCCGGTTCTGTCCGTACGCGTCCTCACTTTATGAATATTTATGAGGTGGATATTTTGAAAGATTATGCAGATACGTTTTTGCTTTTCAACAGGTTTTTTTTCCTTTTATGATAAAAAGCAAAGAACAATAACAAGAGAAGACAGAATTCAAGTGAATGTACACGTGAAAGAGAACATTGGAAAGAAAGAAAGACAGAAAGAAAAATAGATGAAAATAAAGAAACAAAGAGAAAATTGAGAAGAAAGAAAGAGAAAATTAGAGAGAAAGAGAGACAGTGATAAATGGAAAGAAAGAGAAAATCGAAAAGAAAGAGAGAGAAATGTAAAAAGGAAGAGAAAACTGGAAAGAATGAAAGAAAAAATTGAAGCAAAGAAAGAGAAAATGGGAAAGAAAGAAAAATTGGGACGAAAGAGAAAATTGGAAAGAAAGAAAGAGAAAATCGGAAGGAAAGAGAGAATTGGAAGGAATGAAAGAAAGAGAAGATTCAAAAGAAAGAGAGTGAAACGTGGAAAGAAAGAGAGAAGTGTAAAGAAAGAAAGAGAAAACTGGAAGGAAAGAAAGAGAAAATTTGAAGGAAATTGGAAAGAAAGAAAGAATTGAAAATAATGAAAGAAGAAATTGGAAGGAAGGAATGAAAAAATTGGTAATAAATTGAAAACTGGAAAGAAAGACAGAAAGAAAAAAAGAAAGAAAGAAATGGGAAGAAAGAAAGAAAGACGGAGAGAGAAAAAAAGATGAACAATATAAAAACCTACAAATGAAATGAATAATTTTTATTTTATTCTTTATCGCTAAGCTCTCTAGTCCTTCTTTCTTTCTTTCTTTCTTTCTTTCTTTCTTTCTTTATTCCTTTCCTTCTTTTTTCCTTTCTTTCTGTTTTTCTTTACTTTTTTATTCTTTCTCATTCTTAACTAAAGTCCACAATAATAAAAACCTACAAATGATATGAATAATCAAGCAAAAGTTTGAATAAAAATTTTCTTCGTAATATAAGTAAAATTAAATGAAGCAAATTTATTTTTAAATCAACAAATGAAGAAGGAAACAAAATAAAAGAGGTTATAAATTTAGCATAGATAAAACAAATAAAAAAATATGTAAAACATCACTGAAACAAAAAAATGGCAAAACAAATTATACTCGTTGGAATAAATACATGAAGGAATGAAAGGAAGAAAATAATTGAAAAAGAGAAACCATTAATTAATTAGGAAGAATTGTGGACTTTAGTTAAGAATGAGAAAGAATAAAAAAGTAAAGAAAAACAGAAAGAAAGGAAAAAAGAAGGAAAGAAAGAAAGAAAGAAAGAAAGAAAGAAAGAAAGAAAGAAAGAAAGACTAGAGAGCTTAGCGATAAAGAATAAAATAAAAAGTTGAAAGAGAATGACGGGTTAAATGGAAAAGAAAAAAAAAACAAGAAGTTAACATAGAATAATTGGGCACTTGCATGTGGTGTGATGGTTAGAAAGCTTGTCGCAATAGATCATTTACGACTAAGATATGAGTTCGATCCACACTGATTGCCACATCTGAGCTACTCGTAGAAAATCACCACATTATATGGCACAATAAAAATAAACAAGAAGACTTTAGGGTGACCAATAAAGGCTCCTACCCTTACAAAATCCGTATTAGCAAAAAACAGAATAAATAAAAAACTAAGATTCGGACTTATAGCCACACGTTATACTTGACACTTGTTTTAAAGCTCTATTGACAAAACAATGACAGTTCCTACGTGTATAGCGATATTATGTAAAATATATTAAGTCTCACGCTTTAGCTTTCTTTGTTTCTTTAAGTGTTTATATACGTGTTTGTGTGTATTTTCTAAGAGACCACCAGCTAATCGGCGTACATACGATAACACGCTAATATTTATATACATAAGCCCAGTGAAGAGGCCCAAAAGAGTCAACAATCTGACGTAAGCGGCTTCATTCCCCGAATTTGGCGCACAATAACTGCCAACGAAATAAAGTCGCTACTTGTATATTTCTGTGTCAACATGTCTCATTTAATTTATATGTATAGCTTGCCGGATCAGAGGCCACGAAACTAAATACTTACCACTGCAACGTACTTACTAACTTTATTTTCTGAACAATTCATAAGGTCAGTGGAATATATCCAATTGCCTGCGAGTGTTTGCCGTAGGATTGGTGGTCTGTTTGCTGGTGATGTCGGTTCAATCCCATCAAGATACTACACTTATAACTAAATGCATCTATGAAAATATATTGATTTTCACAAGTGTATGCAGAGACAGACTTGACTAACATATTTGAACTTTTATGCTTTTAAAGAAGCCAATTATCGAATTCTAAGTTCGCCAGTTTTTGCGTCATTGCATTCTTTATAACTCATAATAATAATCACTGTAAATTGATCTAATGTCAATAATTTCCAAATATATAAACGCTAATTTATCTGTTTCTTAGTGCTATTTAACTAAGTTGGTTGGTACAAGGACAGAATATAAATTCAATTAATTAATATAAGAGGCAGCGATTTTGATTTGATATTACATACTTTTCAAGTTCTTAATACATTTTTATATGAGATGTTACAGTATAATCTCTGATGACCGCCATTTCTAAGAAAGCTTTCTCAATCAAAGAAACAATAGAAAATTAACATCATTAAATAATGAGTGATTAGAAAAGTTGCGTGCTGGAAAGACATGAGAATTAGATAACTCAGCAGTTGAAAAGACTGATCAATTTGTTCAATTTACCTAAAGTAATTCCGAGAAATATTCTGATAAAAGATTACTAGTTGAATTTTTTTACAAAGTTTCTCTTTGTCATTGTTGCATTATCATTTGACTGGAAAGTATAGCACATTACGAAAAAATATTGATCGAAAAAAAGATTAATGGCACCGAAACAAATCTCACCAACCAGCCCAACCCTCCTGCCAAATGAGATTCTCTTTGGAGCAAGAGGAAAAACTATGAAACAGCTATAATTTAGATAACGCTTAACACTTTTAAAATACGCTTCATGTTATCATGACAACTTCAATGCTTTTCCACTGATAATTATAATAAACATTTTTTTTTATAGAGAAAGCTAATACTGATTACGTAGACATGAAGATAAGTTACGAAGATATTTTCAACTCTAAGAAATTTTCTGTTCACAAATCCACCATATGAAAAGAAAATCTCAAATTTCAGAATTTACTTATTCATAAATTTGATCTGAGAAGCTTGTAATCAACAGGTACACTCATTGTGGCTACACAATATATGTATTTTTAGGCCAGACTTCTTTTAGACTGAATTAATACATTTCGAAAACTTGACATGTTTGGTCAGTTTGCGTACTTGCAAACTCACCTCAGATCATGTGATCTAAATATCTACGTTAATCAAGGTAAGTAAACAAACAATAAAGCGAAGAGATCGGTTGACATTCTCAGGGTTCAGAGAGAATTGCAAGTGAATTAAGAGACGCCAAGCGAGGGATGGGGTAAGTATATGATTTCACTTCCCGACCCTGGAGTTGGAAAGTTTAAAAAATGTAACCGTCTCTTGAAAACAAAATTCAAGCGTTGAAATAAAATATACTTTATTGTTTCTTTTACTGTTATTTTTTTTTAATTTGTTTCTGTCGTTACTGAATGGTTGTGTTGGGGACATAGCGGAGGGTGTTAGAAATAAAAGTAAACAAAAAGGAAAACAATCAATAAGATTAAATATATACCATTAAAATATATAATAATAATAATAATAATAATAATAATAATAATAATAATCTGTTATATATACAAGGTGCTATTATGTGAAAATATCGTGGGAATTAAAAAGAGAGCAATTTCAATTACGTCTTTATACACAGACGGAAAATAGAATTGCAACACCTTTAATATGTGTTTCACTTAATACATAATTAAATGTCCAGGTAATCTCACTAGGTATAAATAAATGATAGCATATACAGATGAATACTTAAACAGGTGTCAAAATAACGTGTATATCAATAGACCCAATACTGATACACTGTTTATCTTTGTTGAACATTTTCAATAACTGTTTATGCAATACGAGGCCCAAGAATCTCTCAAGGTAGAGTGTTACTGAATGAGGTTGCTGTATGAGAGTAAGAGAAGGAGGTAACGAGTGCAGTTTATAAGAATTTAAAAGGAAGATAACGGTTAACTCTAGACTTAAAGATATTGTGGTTATCAGGGAAACATTCTCGCAAGCCTTTTATATTAAATTGCCGTTCTTGGAAAAAATCTGTCAGAGTGGAACTCCCCGATCCTTACTAATTGCATACGAATGGTATGGGGATGATTCATTTCAGTGTACATGGCATGGGGGGGATCTTAACTGTGAAGGTCAGAACTTATGGAACTATGTACTATACAGCCCTGTACACTTGCTTTGAAAGGTCTTCTGCTAGGAAATCTGATACACTGCGTCATACCAAATTAATTTTTCTCGTGAGAATTCATCTTGCATATTTATAAATTTAGCATTCGACGGTACGTCGCATCTTGCTACTGTACCTGATCTGGAGCTCCTCTAATATATCTGGTGATTTTCGAAAATATCCAAAAACGGGTCTGTGATATTATCGGTTCTGACCTGGCATCTCGACTTCAGTGATTTTTCCCACCACCGTGACGTGTCTTTCTTCTCTCTTTTGTTCTAATGAGATCTTCTTTTGGTATTTTATACTTACTAGTAGATAAGCAACCGAGTCTCACCATTTTACTATTGGAATAGCTAGATATAACAATGAGTTCTATTCTAATAATTTCTTCTCACCTTTCAATCTCCATCTTTAATTTTCTTGATTTACTGTTCATTTCTGTCTCATTCTGATCACTAAAGTCTTCTCATTCATTCTTTTCTTAACCAGTGGCGCCTTAATGACATTATTCTCTTGCTTTGTGTAAGATGGTTAAAAAAAAGGTATCTTACGAGATCATCATACCTATATGGGGGCTCCAGGCTTCCAGTATTAGTATTTCTTATAACTTTCACTTCACAAGCTACTTAATTTTTGATCGAAAATTTATTCTTCTTTCCACGTATAGGTTTATTAGTAACAATAATTTTGAAAAACAAATATAGGTATCATAAATCGTTTAGAAATTACCTCCTATCCAATGCAATATTTGACAGTCCCGATAAGTCGGATCTATTCGATAAGGTCAAATTGCTAGCGGATCTCAAAAATGTCCTATTGTCTCGAGAAACGATGGCTTAATTCTTGCTCCTCTAAAACGAGATTTATCTTTATCAATCACCTGAATTATCCCTTCCTACCTCGCCCATAAGCGTGGCTGATACTAATCTCTATGGGAGGGACTCGTTACATCTCGGGCTAATATTTTCGGTTAACATGAAATTCAGATTATACTAAATTCGGCTTCTATAAAAGTTGGTACACTTTGTCGTGCTATACAATTTTTTTCAATGGACTTATCTTACATATTTATATGTCTATCATTCGTCCAGGCCTTGAATATTGCTGCCACATATGGTCCAGTGTTCCTGCTGTATCTCTAGAGATTCTTGGTAAAATCCAATGAAGGACCAACAACATTATTGGTCCTTACCTACCGTCTCAGCTTCAGTCACTTTCTCGTCGCCATATTATAGCTTCTCTGTGACTTTGCTATAAATAATTTCATAGTAATTGTTCGGATTAACTCTTCGCTAAGGCACCTAGAATTTATGTATTTAAGAGTAATACTAGATTGGCGGTAAGTTCTCATCAGTTCACAGATAAATTGGCTAGATATAATCATATGTTCTATGTATCCCGTATTTCTGGCTTATGGAATTTTCTTCCGTCTCCATGCCTTCCAGCTAATACTGATCTTCAAAACTTTAAATGCAATGTCAATTATTATCAATGTCCTCTTCAGTACTCTTCTATTGTTCTCCCTCCTTAACAACGTTTCTTTTTTTTCTTATTCTTTCACTCTTCTTAATCTTTTTACACTATGTGTCCTAATGGCTTTACTGCTGGTGATGTGATTAATAAAAAACAAATGAACAATCGTGGTTCTAATTTCTAAACTATGGTCAGCGGTGGGATTGAGTAAAGCCTGTTTTAAAGATGGAGTATCATGAGTACATGGATTCGGGAAAATGTTTTCTCAGTTCCCATGATATCATTCCCATGGTAGAGGTTGTCTCAGACTGAAGGTTCCTCTACTGGAGAGTAGCAGGGTAAAAGAATATGATTACTGCAGAATATTCAGAGTAACAAAAATTGCCGTAAAGATGACTTTAAATTTCGAGTTTCATATGAGCATGTCACATGTACATATCCTCGTCATGTCCATGTTGGCATGCGTCAGGTGTCGGAGAATGGGAGAG